CTCTCTCCATTTAGACATGTGATCCTGTCAGATTAGTCACTTGATCATAAGCTGCTTCCTCACACTCATTCAATGTTGCTCACTCCATCATTCTCTTCTCCCTCAGTTCATTTCAATTCGTTCTTTTGTGCGCAATGACTTGGGAGCTGATTTCTCCAGATCTAAAGCTTATATTAATCAGACATGTCCAGATCAGTTGTTTTATGATCAGTGATGTCATGGGGAAGTCAGAAAATGTCATCATGTATATTTCAGAAATGCATTTTTCCAGGTATCTTTGTATCCTATTGGACTACACACATATAGCTCATATAGATAAAAAAAAAAGTTAAATCATGAATGATGTCATCATGACCTCACAACTATTATTCAGAAAATGATGTCATTATTGTAGAAATGCATTCACTTTTGCAGCCAATAACATTAGAGCTATGGTCTACAATTTATGCAGATTTGCATGATTCATCACCATATGGTTTAAATGACAACACGATAACATGATGGAAGAGCATTATTATCATTACTTTATAAAAAAAACTACATAATGCATGCAGGGTATCCATTGTTACCATGATGACTTTCATTTAAAATAATTTCACTTAACTTTTCAATTTTTTACACTTTTACACAGACGAACACCCACAACCTCGGCCTTTAGTTAATATGTGTCGGTTGCAGGCCTCATTTCAATGGTAGGCGCCACAAATGACCTTAGGGGCTGTAAAAGCAGCCATTTCAGTTTGTATTTGAACACTGTCCTGTGAATAAATCATCCTGAACACAAATAGCTGTAGTCGTCTGTTTACTGAAGGAAGGTTCTCTAAATGAGGCCAATAGCTCTAGGTCATGGAATGACAATGATTATCCTGACTTTTCTTGTGACAGGTACAAATAATACAATGTAGGAATTACAACGTTACCTTGAGGCTGACTAATGATTGATTTGTAAGAGGGAACACAGTTAATTTACATATCACTGCTTGTGTCACACTGCATACACATTTCGGACAGGACAGACATATAACTTACTAAAGGTGTAAAAATAGAATATTACAAAAGGCAAAAGCAAAAAAAACCCTCTGCACTGAACTGCCTTCATTAACTCTAACTGGACTATCATATTTAGTAATTCCAGCTGAGTTCCTGTTGTAATATCCGGTAACTGCACAATGTATTTATATCTCACATGATTAAAATAGCATTGAGCCCCCCTCCTTCCAGCATGGTTTAACAGACTGAGCTTTGATGGATCATATATATAAACATGTCTCTGTCCAACAAATCATCACAAAGCAGAAATCCTCCCTGAAATGATTCTGATCGCAGACTTTTCTGTTTGTAAAGTTGTTTCTGGGAAAGTTTGTGTTGTTTTCAGCAGCTTTATTGTCATTGTCTCCAGATACCACCGGGTGGCAGTGTTCAATTTTCTGAGAAATGTCCAATTCTTTAGCTATTTACTGAACTATAACCATGCATTACTATTGCTGCTACATTCCATTGCTCCTATTTTGGTGAAAACAACCAGTTCCATTTGCAGATATGTTTGTTGTTGTTTTTTGAAAATCCATTTAGTTCAACAGGATTTGAGTAAAATATATTTAAATGATCTCATACCAAAATTAATCCATAAATATGATTTGAGATATGAGATATTATTATATTGTTATCTGTGTAGTTAGGCTCAAACTAGATACTGACAAACAATTAATTACATTTTAAAAGCATTGTTGTGGTTATTTTTTACTTTAAAGTGTCTTCATGTGTATTTAATGTAAAATATCAATCTGAAAAGTATTTAGTGTAGTGGAATGGAAGAAGAAAGTGCACTTCAAAAGTAAAATTGTATTTAGTATACAACTGCTGTAAGGGAAACATAAAATGATTAAAAACTGATGTTCAGGATTGTGTTTACTTGTATGAAACGTTACTGTTGTTTTCTTTACACACGTCAATCACACATGTTACAGACACAAAGACTCACACACCTCACTCCAGCTGTTATCACCCTTGTGATTAAATCAAGCCTTAATTATGTAAAATAGAGGAAAATAATTTTGGATGCAGCTAATGATATTATCGTCTAGCTTGTGACCTTTTCAGTATGGAGGACAGGGCGTATTCAGAGGAGGTTCGAACTGTGACATTTGAGATAGGGAGTAGCCCAAAAGAGGTGGTCTCTGGGTAATGAGGTCTTGCTGAGAGGAAACAGCCTTTTTGACCTTCTTGTGGTCTTAAAGGTTCGGTGTGTAAGATTTAGGTGAAAGGGATCTATTTGCAGAAATTGAATATAAAATAATCCTAGTGATGATTACAGTAGTTTTTTCATCTGTATGAGTTGTTGTTTTCTTTACTTTTAATTTACATCTGGACAGAGTCCTCTCTACAGAGGCTTCCATGTTTTTAGCCCAAACTTTACAAACTAAACACCTTTAACTTTTATGACAACTGGTTCTCTTTCATCAACATGCAACTTCACCACTAGATGTCACTAAATTCTACACACTGAACCTTTACGTTCAGAGTGTACATAAACTCAGGATCTCCCAGTCTGCTTCGAAGTCTGCAGAATATGTTTTACTGTTTGGTGATGCCAAACTGTGCACACCACAACGACACATTGTACAATGTGAACTTTTATTTTTACACACTGCAAAATATCATTCTGTGTGAATTTATTTTGCCTACAAATTTTCACATTTAGTTATAATGAGTCTACTAGAATTCAACCCCACATTTCAAAACATGTTTTGTGAGTGTGCACACTCAGACATTCAAACCAGAAACTCCAATTCCAAAAGTATAAACCTTATTTTTATTTTACAATTTTATCCAAATTCTGCATTGTTCCTTTTTTTGTTTNTGATTGAAGAATTAATTATTCTATGTGCCTTAGTTTTCATATTCTGCTGTAGTTTTAGTTTTTTTTATTGACCTAACTTTACATTTAAAAACATTTGTTAGCAAAAAACTGTCTACTTGTCCAACAGTTGTCAGCCTGACGTGATCAGTTTGTCTGCATTATTCAGACTAACATATAAATCCTGAAGCTGAGCTTTGCTTTTTTGTGTCACAGCTATTAAGGATTAACTGTATCGCACTCAGACTGATCCAAGCTTTGGACAGTGCTAATGCAGGATAATAGATGAATCTGTGACATAAAGTAAAGATTGGACTTTTACCAGAGTTTTAAACTCAAAGTCATCAACAGCTGTTGATCAGGTTTGCATTTCAGCGTCAGTACATTTATTACTTCCACCAAGGAGGTTATGTTTTCACTTCTGTTAGTTTGTTGGTTGGTTTGTGTGATTGTCAGCAGAGTTGCACAGTAAGAACCCAATACATTTTGGTTTAGAGTCAGGATTTCAGTTTTTATTAGTATTACTATTTTCACTGATTACCAGCGGGGAAAAAATAATGGAATTGATTTAAAATCTCAGGCACATTTAGGAAACGGATATCTGAGTGGGTGGGGTTCAGTGTTGCTTGATTGAAATTAAGGGGATTGTTGGGCCTTGCAGGGGTATGTGCTCTTCTGAGTGCCATAAACTACTCTGGACAAAAGTGTCTGATAGATGTCATCTAATGAAACATAGTTGAAAATATTTGAACCAAACCTGGTTTTCAGTAGGGTCTCAAATAGTCTTAAATTGAATAATCACCATTTTAGTTCTACAAATTCTCTAAATACATTAAAATATTGCGAACTAGGTCTTAAATACTTTTAGGTAGGTCCTAATTGTGTTACATTTAATTTAACACTACTTCAGTCAAATATTAAAAGTTGCAGTTGAACACCGCTCACCTCACTCTCTCATTCCAAACATGAAAAATAACCTGTGGTAGCCTTCAGTCATAAAACTCAAAAGGTGTTTAGTTTGTCCAGTCTGGACTAATGTAAAAAACATGACAACCTCCATAGAGAGGACCTGCTCCCGATGTAAATATAAAGTATTTAAATATATGGGGCACATTCAAGGGTAAAGAAAACTTAAAACTCAATTTAGTACATTTCAGGTGAAAAACACTATTGAAAACATCACTATAGTTTATATTCAATATTCAATAGATCCCTTTCACCTAAATCTTACTCACTTAACTAGACCTGAGGAAACCCTCTTAAAGACCAAAACTTTATTTTATAACAACTATATTTAATCAAGACTGTACTTATTTAGCACCTTTCAAAACAAAGTGCTTCACAAATAGAACAAATAAAAGCATCAAAGACGAGAAGCAATGTAATAGAATGTTGTTTAAAATCAAAGAAAGCAAATAAAACAAAATAACATCATCATCTGAGCGACCTGGTCAAGATGGATAGTCCCCTTAGATCCACTGACTCAAACCTTTTAGCTGTTCCAGTTTAAAAAACAGAATGCCCTGATAGAGTGATGTGTTTGATGCTGCCTCTCTGAGTGATGGCACAGGGAGAGGCTGCATCAGGACCACTCTCCCCTGCCCTGGTCACATGTTCGCACTGTTCTCCATCAGAGAAGTGATTGAGCAGCAGCGCTTTGAAACAGACCCGAGTCGGGACTCTTGTTGAGGAATGGCCTCTGAACGGGACGGATCCAACTCAACCAGAAACATGACCAACCAGTTCGTGCAGCCGCCATGGCGCGTCGCGCTCTGGTCCGTCGCTTACAGCGTGGTGCTGGCGGTGGCGGTGTTCGGGAACCTGATCGTGATCTGGATCATCCTGGCGCACAAACGCATGAGGACGGTGACCAACTACTTTCTGCTCAACTTGGCGTTTTCGGACGTCTCCATGGCCGCGTTCAACACTTTGATAAACTTCATCTACGCGGCGCACGGGGAGTGGTACTTTGGAGAGGCGTACTGCAAATTCCACAACTTCTTCCCCGTCACCGCTGTGTTCGCCAGCATCTACTCCATGACCGCCATAGCCATCGACAGGTAACATGTGTGTCGTGCATTTGTTTCTTCTTCACTATAATCATTCAGTTTTCCTTGTTTTCTTTTTTATTTAATGCAATGCAGTTTGATTTATACAAGTTCATACACACATTGGGGCCATTCAAAAACCACACGAACAAAAAAACTAATTCTAAGCTAAATAAAACATTTTATGACTTGAATAAAAGATATTAAAAGATGTTACAGAAATACATATAATATGAAAACTTAACAAGGTGAAAAATAAAACAGAACTGTGTAAAATAAATAACAGTAGTATAGAATACAGTGATGGTCGGAACTTGTGAGTAAAAAGGTTTTAAATCTGGTTTTTAAAACAGCAATGGCAGTCAGCGCAGCGCGGTGCTGCACAGTGACTAGGTGCTTCCAGATTGTATAATTCACATATAAGTTACACTTGACAGTAATTTGTTCCCCAAATTCAGAAATTTTGATCTGTTTATCGTGCTTAAAGGTTTGATGACTTAGATCAGTGGTTCCTAAACTAGGGATCTGGAGCCCTTGGAAGGTCACGAGCCACAGAAGGAGGGTCAATAAATGAATACCAGAAATAAAATACAGTTTAAAAACAATTTGATATCACATTTTATTAATCATAATTGTTACGAAAGTGAAATGTTTATACTTTCTCTTTCTCCATAGCTGCTTTCAGACACACACTGAACTCTGGAGAACCTCCTGATAGTCTCCAGAGGGGCTGTATTTGAGAATGCAAATATCTAAGTGAGAGGCTCCGGACTTTCTGTGGAGATCATAGAGATTCTGCAGAGTTTCTTTGTCCAGCTCCCTGGTAAAAACTGCAGAATGTCAGAATGAGCTGATGTGAGAACACAGCAAGATAATATAGGATTCACCGTGAGCAAGTGGGCATGTTGATATTGTTTGTGACGGATGCAAAAAGGAAAAAAACAAAAAGAATACAAACATCTCGGCATGCTGGTGACAACATAGTCTTATTTACTTTGGTATTGAGTTGTAAAAATGGAATATCTGAGCAAAATCAGCAGTGATCAATAAGGATGGTGATAAATTGATCTTTTCAGTGAAGGAAATTAAATATATCATGGTTTGAAAACTTCCTTAGCCTTGAACTTAGAGTGAATGAGTTACAGTGACCTATTGTCCCAGAGGCCAGCTGTGAATGGTCGTGTCTATAAATACAGGTATTCATTAAGCACAACAAGCTACTGTTATTTTTGTTAAGTCTGTATTTGCCCCTCACAGGTACATGGCTATAATCCACCCTCTGAAACACCGTCTGTCGGCAAAGGCCACCACAAGAGTCATCGTCTGTATCTGGAGTCTGGCCGTGGTCCTCGCCTTTCCTCTCTGCTACTTCTCCACCACCCGAACTGTACCTCACAGGACGCTCTGCTACGTGGCCTGGCCCCGCATGGCTGAGGACCCCTTCATGTGAGAACACACACACACACACACACACACACACACACACACAAACACTGACAACTGTCTTTGTTCAAGCTCATTTCAGGCTTCATCATCATTGTCATGGCAAAGATATGAAATCAAGTTTCTTACATTTATCATTATTTGTGCATCATCTGATTGTGTATCCTTAAATGGTGCAATGTTTGGCCATTTACAGGTTCATCATTTTTATTTGGGGATCTAGAAGAACATGAACATGCTGTAATGTTTAATATACACATTATTTGTCTCATACTACAAACAAAGAATTACCAAGATCTTTAAACTACTGTAAAAAAAATAGCTGAGAAGTGGTAAGAGGTCAATTTTGACTGCAGACAATGCTCATGCATTTGCAAAGATGATGATGACAGGCAACCACATGAATCAGACCATTGCCTTGTTTAAAATGATGGATTTCTCTTGGTTTGAATATTTCTGGAAACTCCAGATACAGTACACCAGAATACACTGGGGATTTGTCTCCTCTCTTGTGCAGGTATCACATCATAGTGACAGTTCTGGTCTACGTGCTGCCCTTAGTGGTGATGAGCATCACTTACACCATCGTGGGGGTGACTCTGTGGGGAGGGGAGATCCCCGGAGACTCGTCCGATAACTATCACAGTCAGCTCAGAGCCAAACGGAAGGTAAACCACATTTACTTAACATATTTACACTTGTTTTGTTTTTTGGAGTGGAAGCACACAGCTGTATTTGACCTCAGATAATAAGTGTGAATAAAGTTAAGTTTCATACTTACTACTATTATATACTTACTGTTTTTACTTGTCTTAGCCTTTGCTGATACGCTGCTGGGACATGACGTGATGGGGAGTCACGGACTGAGGTTCAAGCCCCTTTGTTGAAAAGCATTTGCTCATTTGGAAAAGGAATGAGGGAAACATAAAGCAAATATTTGAAAGAAAAATTCATTTAGTTATAAATTCAAATTTAAAATCTCAGACAAATAAAATCCATCTGTTGCAGTGGCTCAGTCATGGCAACATTTTGATAATAATTACACTGTGATGGCTGTATCTGTGATTTAGATGAAAATCAGATCTCATTTTATGATAAATTAATGCAAACAACCAGGCGACTCTAAAGTTCCCCGATTTTCTTTTGCCATCAATATATCTGAGCAGCAGGGAATCTTGTCTACAGCAGCAACAAGGGTCCATGTTTAGAAAGCTACTGTTTGGAGAAACCTGTTGCACGAACAAATAAAAGTAATGTGATAGTTTGTGTGACAAACAGCGGCTGAATGCATTGGCAGAGATGTTTAATGAAGGGAACTCACATTTTTCATATCACTGAAATCTTTATAATCTGAAAACCACACGCAAAGAAAATGTATCATCGCACTTTATGTGAAGTGATGCAATAAACAGCAATAGTCATTCAGCTGCAGCCAAGAAAAAGAGAGACGCATCCAGCGGCACCTGTTTTAGTTTAGCGTCTTCAGCCAGACGACACAGTGTGCTTCAGAGCAGAGGGTTGGGTCCAGCAGGGATTAAGGTCATCACAGCTGTCATGACGAGCATCTATCGAGACAGATCTGGGATTAACGCCAAAGAATAACATTTATTGATAAATGTCACAAATACTGTCATGGCACAAAGGTTTGGCTGCGGGGGTATTCAGAGACAGAAGATGTTTTGGATGCAAAAAAAAAAAAATCAACATTTCATATTTGTCCCGTAAACTGAAGGTGATGAAGTTGGATGAAAAATGTAAATTTAAAGATAAAACTTAACTGAAGAATAGATTCCTGCCTTAGAACTATATTCTTTTGTGCCACAGACACAAGCACCTATTCAGTGCACAGAAATAGAGACGGCGGCAGGTGCAGCTTTGTCATTTACAATCTTGTTAGAGGGTTTCAAAGAAAAATATCATCAGAGACCGAAATTGAGCCGAGAAACATAAAAGAGATTTGTAAATGTCAGGAAAGCTTCAAGACAATGTCGGGCTTGATTCAAGGGCCGAGGATGACAGGATTCCATCTGGACGGGAGATAAGAGGAGGTCGCTCTCTCATCACAGTCTCACACATGAGCTCGGTGGTGCTCAGATGCCTACTCCCTTTTTAACCCCCCTCTGCTTTGTGCCGTAATGCACTGATGAGCTCTGCAGCCCTCTCTCATCTGTTCTACCTGAAACCTGCTGCGTCTGGTGCGTCAACGCTGACCTTTCCCTCTCCTCGTATGGCAGACCTTCTGTACCCACCGGCAAGAGACGTCATTGTTCTCAAAATGAAGAGAAATAGACAACAAACACGTAACTTCAGAGACTCTTCATGTGCACATAAAAAGCTGTCAGAGTGTGTTCCTTCTTTTTGTCAATGATTCTTGAGTTGACAGGACTAGATGATGCAGGGAGGAAGCCAAAGAAAAATATTTCTCTGATATTTACACCTTTAAACATTATTTTTATTTTTCTTATAAATTGGTGAAAATGTCCAAAAATCACATCTCACAATGCAAAGTCCTCGTAGATTTAAATCAAAATTCCACACACTCACAAATGTCAGTGCCCTAAACATTTTATTTCCATCAGGATCCATGAATTATTTGATGAAAAATAAAGGAAAATGTTGACAAATCTCACAACGTTAAAAAGTGGGGGAAAAAATCCAGATCTGCCCGTTCTGATCCAGATCGCCACCAAAATTTGATGGGTTCTTCCCTCCACCATGGATCTGTTTAGTAATTTTTGCGTCATACAAACAATTGCAGAAGCAAATGTAACCAGCTTGGTGGAAGTAATTATCACTCGACATCCTCTCAGCTCTGCAGGGTTTCACCTCAGCATCTGTCAGCTCAGCGCTTTAGTTGGACTTTGGCATGATGATGTTTGCGTTTCTCTCTCACTGTCTTGCAGGTGGTGAAGATGATGATCATTGTGGTGGTGACCTTTGCCCTCTGCTGGTTGCCCTATCATGTCTACTTCATCGTGACGGGTCTCAACAAGCGTCTGAGCAAGTGGAAGAACATCCAGCAGGTTTACCTGTCGGTGCTGTGGCTGGCGATGAGCTCCACCATGTACAACCCCATCATCTACTGCTGCCTCAACAGCAGGTGGGTACAAATACGGCACAACCCAAAACCCCCACATGTATATGATACACAACAGCGTAGTTAAAGGGTTTGATTTTGGCTGCAGGTTTCGGGCCGGTTTCAAGCATGTGTTCCGCTGGTGTCCCTTTGTCCACGTCTCGAGATATGATGAGCTGGAGCTCCAAAATACGAGACTGCAACCTGGTTACCAGAGCAGCATGTGCACCCTCTCACGGGTCGACACCAGCATCCTCAGCAAAGACAAGAGTGTTTATTCTCATGGAAACAGGTCAAGAAAACTGAACTGAATAATAAAGACAGTTAGCTGTAAGGTTGCTGTCTCCACTGTTTTTGGCACATAGATAGATATTGGGATGGCTGTAGTACAACATGGGGTGAAGATGTTTTTAAGCACATTTGATTTAAAAAAATATCATAAAAAAAACATAATGTAGCTTTAGAGAACTTAAACTCAACCCCATACATGAATGTGTTTTTTTCAGAAGTTTTAAATTGTAAAATGCTGCTATTCATAAATTTGCAATCTAATTTTGTTTCTAATATGTATCCTAACGTGTGTAGTGTGTGTGACAATTTAGCAAAATCCAAAAAAGATGAGTTCAACTAGTCGGTGAGTAATTTATATGTGGATTCATAACACTAGTAATAGAAAGTGTTTCATGAAGACATTTGTTGCTAATGAGATATTTCCCACATGCTGTACTTCCTTAGATTTTGATTATAATCATTAAATAACATTGATGCTTTGTTAAAACATGGTTAGAGCCTTGGTATTTTAAATGCTTACATCATATTTGTATGTTTTATATATTATTATACATTGTACATAAATATACTTTGTCAGCATCATATACTTTAAGCTGCTTTTTTACCACGTTATCCTTGCATGCTTTTATATAACTTGATACCAAACAGATTTATTTAATGTCATACTCACTGTAGACATACTGTACATTTAATCCCATCAGACCAAGACTCAGTGATTTCATCCATAGCAGTGATGCGCTAACAACACTGATGCCCTTAAATCTTTTCTAGTGACACTGAAAGGAAATGCAGCTCATGGCATTTTATGACCAAGTGTAAATCCACAAGTGCTCGTTCATGTTTTTGTTAGTTGGAAAAAGCATGTGCCATCTTCAAATGTGCTTAAAGTGTGCTTTACTGTGTGTATCTACGGATTTTCTTGTTCATAATAAATGTGCATACAGTATGTGCTTTCATATTCAGACATTTGATGCAAACTCGAACACACAGACACAAATTATCTGTGTTGTTTATTCTGAATTTTGTTGCTATATGATGTGAAAATAACTCTAGATCAGAACATGTTTATACTTGTCATTCTTTAATATTGTTGAACGTCTTTATTGTTACATGAAAGGAGCAGCTTACTGAGTCTACCACCATTATTTCAACCTGTCAAAATATAACAAGACGAGGGCAGTTCAACCAGTTTGTTTTATCTCATACGTCTAAAAGCTGTGGTGGCAATTTCTGTTAAATAAGCACAAAGTCAAACACTTCTTTCTGTAAGTTTAATTCACCATCTGCAGATGGACTCATCAGTACACATCACCTGAATGACATGCACAAATGAGCAAAGAACATAGGAGAATCTTTGTTCTTATAACTCGCAGCCCCCTCCCACTAAGCATACAAAGGTATTCATTACCCTCCTGTAGTTTCACTCAGTGGAGGAGACATCCTGTCCTTTTGTTTACATGTTCTGTGGATGACCCCCCTGTGAGACCCCAGGTGTGAGATCCCAATCAGAGATACAATGAGATACCATTAATTGTGGTTTCTTAAGCCGCCATCGTAAACCTTATAGTTGCCCTTTTAGATTAACAATTTGGTCAACCATTTGGTCCGTCCTCCACATACATGTCTGCTCATGCAATTATACATACACAAATGTAAGATTTCCATTACAAAGCTGATGTTATCAACTGAGACTTGAGCATCCTGGTGATGCAAAGGTTCATCTTTCTAACGAGCGTTCACTCATAAAAGCATAACACACAGATCAATAAAAAAGAAAGTAGAAGCAGAAGTAAACATTGCTTGATTTGCATAAAAGCAGGATTTGAGTTCAGAACCATAGGCTGTATATAAAGATGGATGACATGACTGCTTAACCTCAAAAGTAAGGCTTAAACATCTGGACCGCCCCCTGGTGGCTGTACATCATAAAATAGAACCTTACAAGTTAAATACATTTTTCTCAAAGATGTTTTCTGTCATTTCTCATCACACTGATGTTTGTCCAAGTGCTATTTTTCCAGTTTGGTTGTAATTAGTTATTTGATGCTATAAAAATGTGGTTAAACATCCCGATAGACAGCTGAGACTGATTTGTGATCGCTCAAATGTGAGTATTTGTGAGACCTCAATACCACAGCTCCACTCCACAATAAATTCTGGCTCCACACCAGTGTAAGAATATATATGTAATATCTGGAATATTTTGGCTTTGCACAGTAGGAGGACTGGAAGACACACCCTCCATCTTTATATTACAGTCAATGATTAAAACGTGGTAGAAGTGATTTAAAAAAAAGACAATATTTTTGCAGCTTGCATAATCTTAATTGCATTACAGCAAAACAGTTTTTCATTGTTTAACTGTAAAATCAAAGCAGTGTTTTGCATTTGAATGATTATTTTTCATTTATTCTATCAACAAATGAAGACAAGAGACAAAGACAAGAGCACCAACACAAGCCACACATGGGTGGAGACGACAGCTGGAGACCTATAAGACAAACAGAGATAAATAAGTTTAGATATCAAAATATGTGTAAGGCCTTAAAAACTCATCAGCCTCTTCTTATAGGCTAGGTGGTCATACATGAAGGTTATATTTCTATGAGACATGTTTCTGTTTCACATCATTTCAAGCTGGTTCCATTGAACTTGAATTTGTTGAATAATTAGTTTGAAGTTGTTTTACATGTGTTAAGCTGCTGGCTTAACAGATTTTGAGAAAACAAGTTTAACTTGAATGTCGAATTGAATCAACAACTAATCAGCTCTGTTGACAAATGTTATGAGAGATTTTCTTTATATTTTTATTTTCTCAGTTCGTCCTCTGACATGAAAGCTTCTCCAGTTGCAACCACCATGTAGAGTTGGTACAAAGAAAGCACATAAGCTTATATGCTTTTGTATTTATTACATATATATGATAAACAATTTTTAGAGGTTAGGGTTGGTAGGTTTTTTTTGGAAACACTTTTTATCTTATTTGTTCAAATCCTTTTCACATCCTGATAGCCATCAATAAATAGTCATCTGAAAAAAAGAACGAAAAAAGTGCTGGCAGGACTGTACACCAACCAAACAGTGTTTTTTCCAGAGGGATGTATCGGTGTAGCTCTTCTTGCTAGTTTTTCCAGGATATAACCAACCCCAGCTTTAATTTTTACTTTGTATTTGAGTAACTTTCTAAGATTATGCAAACAATTTGCAACAATGCACAACCTCCTTATTCAAAGCCTACTGTGTCTCAATGCTGATGACAGTGAGCAACATATTTCAGTTCATTAAGAATCCGTCTCTTACCGTGAGAAGATGTCGCAGCTGTGTGAGCTGTGCAAGCTCTTCAGATCTGAATGTTTCAAGATGATCTCAGTGAATTGCGAATCGGGATCCTTTTTGGTCATTACGCTCGCCACTGTGAACTCTTCAGCTGGACTCAACAACACCTCGCTTGATTCCTCCTTGCAAATGTTTTTCCCCAGTTTGACATAGAAGCAAGACGTGATGTTTAAAACCACTTCCTCGTCCAAATCTGGCAATTCCTTCAGACTCAAGTTGGCCAAGGTGAACCTCCCCAGTCTCACTTTTGAGCCGTTTTTTGCCTCAACTGATTTATCTGCTAAAGTATAGACAGTCTTACAATTCGGTGGCTTCTGCAGCATCATGTAATCCATGAGCAGGAAGTGGAGCGACTTAAAACTGAAGTTGTTTTCGTAGGTGCTAATGTTCCTGCCCATGGTCTCCACTTGGTTGTTAAAGGTTTTTATAAAGTCCTCATCGCCGTCGACATATGCCCACAATGCAGCAATATGTTCTTTGATGGCTCCTGGGATCAACCTGGAACACTGGGTGTGGTCGCTCCATGCTTTCTGGAAACCTGCACTGAGGTTCAGCTCTTGTCTTAACACGCCTGAATGGATTAACTTTGCCATGGCCTCTTTACGGCATTTATCATACAGGTAGTCCACAGCATCTTGGGCCATGTACAGTTGTTTCTCTGCAGCCACCTTTATTTGAATACGGAAATTAAAATACTGTTGAGAGGAGAATATTTTAACGTATAACATCATAACAATCAACTGCAGAAGAAGAAAAGAAAACTTACACTGTAGTAGAGCGCTGTGAAAACAACTGCAGCAGCAAGAAGCACTTTTCGTCTGCTCCACATTTTAAAGGGCTTCTTCTCGTTGGTGTCCGTCCACACACAGACTGCTGCATACACCAGTAATCACAGAAAAGCGTTTCAGGACCCAACTTGAATAAAAATGTCTGTGTCAGGATGGGATGGGTTGTTGCTCTAATACTTTGTTTAGACAAGCGCACAATCTCCCTTTATCAGTTTTTTTCTCCGAAAACAGCAACCACCACCCGACACCAGATAAGATATAATGTAACTAGTGTCCACACTACGATGAAAACAGATACATACATACATACCTTATAATCAGGAGAATTAACTTCTGGTAGCAGCGAAAAATAAAATCAAGTCCATGCACTGAAAACTGCAGGGGTGTGATTATCCTTTGCAGAACAGTCCACTGGGAAGTAAAAAAAAACATATCTTACTGGGCAGCTCCTTCTCTTTTCCTGTGGAAGGAAACTCATCACCTCTGCAGGAGCCCTGATGACTATTACTTGTTCTCCTACAGATTTTTAACTGCAGGAAACTCTCACTGATTTATTTTAGTTTTAGTTTTAATGAACAAAGATACACTTTCTTAGTTTGTTCTCTCCAGATTGTGATGTGTGATATGTTAACAAACTTGATTGTTTTATTTGGTTGTTTCAGAAAATATTTTAAGACTCCCTATAAACACAGCAGTCAGACCAAATCTAGAACATATTACCATGATTTTAGCTTCTCTTCGTGGGTCTCCAGTAAAGTTTAGATTTGTTTTAAAGATTTTATTGCTGACTTTTAAGGCCCATTCCGGATTTGCACCTAAGTAGATTTTGGATCTTTAGTCACCATATCTTACCTGTAACCTGAGGACGCCAGCGAAGGTCCCACTGACCATGTAACCATCCTGGCTGGGTTACCGGGCCTCCTTTGCAACAGTCTCCCTGAGGAGATCCATCTTGTTGGATCCTCTTCTTTTAAATCTCTCTTAAAGACAAATATGCTTTCTCCTAGTTGTGATCTTATCGATAATTGCAATCATTTAATGTCTTACTTTCTTCTTGTTTGAACTCTTTTCTCATTTCCATGCTGTATGATTTTCAAATGGCTTTTTAACTGTTTCTTATTGTTTGCCTTTAAGCTTTCATATTTTTAAACTTGTAAAGCCTCTTGTAACTGTTTTTGAAATGGTGTTATATGAATAAAGTTTATTATTATTATTATTATTATTATCAAATTCAAAACTCGATTTTGTGGATGCTCACAACAACAAACCAGTCATTTAGTATGGAAGGAACACAGATTTGCTTCATGTGAGAAAACTAAAAGCCCTTTATATAAAAACATTACAGACAAATTATTTGATGCCCGTCCAGTTTTCTACAGCGTATCAAGTGAAATAACATTCCTCACTGTACAAACAATGACTTGATGAATGATGTTTTCTTCCACCACCCATTCTGTGAGCCCCTGTCACTTCCTTCCTTCCTTCCTTCTTCACTGGTAAATTTTTTCAAGGCTGTAGGTGAGTAATAATGAGTAACAGTGTGAAGTCTGGAAAACAGTTTCTCTGTGGTGGATAATAGTTTGAATTGGATCAGAAAAAAGAAACTGCAGTGTTATGTGAGTACATTTGTGTACAAGTTTATTTACCTATTAGGGAAGGATGTGAGGATTCCTGCCTAAATTATTATTCACCTGAACTGTTCCCTTCAGGGCAAAGGGGGGTTTCATTGTATTTCTGTGCATATGCAATAAAACTGTATCTCATGTGCTTTTCAATTTATAATATATTTCATTTATTTATTTTTTCTGACTTTGTTTTCCACTAATTTTTCGTGGTAGGGGGGCTTTTATTTTGAAAAACACAACCGGAAGGGCTCCTCCTGTGTGGTCGATGCTGGCCCGGTACATCGTGTGTTTTTAAATGTTCGGTCACACATCGTCTCGTGTCATAAACATGTTGAAATAAAAATCACAGACTTTTTATTTATTGTTTGTCTTTCTGACCAGAAATCGTTTTATGACCGGAAACAGCGCACGTTTCCGGTTCCAGGCGCGCCAAAATAGAAAATGGACGCTTTTGACAGAAGCGTGTGTTTGTTTTGACAGTTTGACTCAAAGAAAACGCACTGGACTGTTTTGTCTTCAACTAATGGTGAGTAATGGCCGACTGTGTCCTGCTGACAACCACGGGGAGGTGGATTCTGCTCAGGGAGAGTTTCAGTCAGTGTCAGAGGAGGAGAAGCCTGGTTACTAAATAGAATCTGTATGGACAATGTTGTTGATAACAATCCCAAATGATACACGAGGTGTGTCGAGCTATAAACACACTGTCTGGTGATATATAAGTGGTTAGCTTAGCTTCGTTAGCTCTGCTTCCTGACATTTGTTTTGGTTGTTGCCTACGGTGGCCGAGACGTCTCACGCAAGTGCATCAACGGAAAACACAACTACAAATAACACGACACAACCACAAATAACACGACCCAACTACAAATAACACGACACAACAAAACTACTTTGGCTTTGTGACGTGGCAGCCGGTCTGCAGAGAGGGAAGAATGGAATCCACTAATTTCAGCAAATCCTTTCATTCTAATAGAAACTGAGTTTATTAAGTGCACCTCCAGCGCTCAACTGTCTTTGACCAACTCTCTGAATTTCTACCAGCTCCAGGACGCAGTAGCTGACCTCTGACCCCCTGAGGATGAGTAAGTGGGGAGAGCGACTGAAGAAGGTCGAGCAGCTCGCTCAGTCATTCCAGCTCAATCCTCTCTCTGCACGCTACAAACCTCGACTGTGGCCGTGCCAGCCCTCGTCTGTCTGGAAGCTCTTCCCACGTCAAAGCCTGGCGATCGGCTTCGCTCAGGGCTGCAAAGAGGTAACGACATACTGGTGATGCTGGACTGTCTCATCTGCCTGTACCTCAGATGTGTGACCCTGTTGTAGAAGTTATTTTATGTCTTATCAGGAAACAGTTCTTACATTTCTACAATGGATGTTTTTCCAGGTTGTTCATGTTTTTGCACTTGAAAAAGAAAAGACGAGTCAAGGTCAAAGGATCTACCTGGTTACCAGTTACACTGAGCTGTGGCATTACTACAGGTGAGTAGAAGCTTCACTCTGCTTCACTCCCTTCATGTTCTGTGCCTTGATGTTGATTGTGAATATTTCTTCAGGACTTACCCTCAGTCCTTGATGCACTGCTATGAGGTGATTCCAGAGGGTGCTGTTTGTAAACTTTACTTTGACTTGGAGTTTCACAAGCCCTCAAACAAAGGGGCTGATGGGAAAACTATGGTGTCTTCTCTTATCCAGGTTGGGTTCCTTTTTGTTTCTTCTTTCAACAGTTACCTACTTTCTGTTTGAGTTGAGCAGCTTGTTTTAGATTTTTTTTTCAATTCTCAGAGCGCTCAGTGAATCTTTAAAAATGAATTAATTATATATTGAAGAAAAGATCTCCATAGATTACATTTTGTGTTCTTGTTACTTTCTTACTTTAGAGATCCAGGATGTCTGTATGTTTATGACCTGTTGATTTGTTTGTCCATAGGTTTTCGGTAACAAACTGATGGAAGTTTATGGGATTGAATGCTCTGCAAAGAACGTCCTCACTCTTGAGTCCAGCACCGAGGAGAAGTTCAGTCAACATCTCATCTTCAATCTCCAAAATGCAGTGTTCAAAGACAACATACATGTTGGTATGTTTCAAGTCACATGGAGGCAAAAAAAATATTTTTCTGTAATCTGCATTTTATTCATATATTCAGTTTGATCATTCATTGTTTTTTAGGTCGGTTTATCCACGCAGCTCTTCAACCAGTCCTGATCAAAGCCAGAAATGGAGGTTCCCTGGATGGTGGGATTTATTCAGAGGCAGAAAATGGTGAAACGCGGTTAGTTTTTCTTTCTTTTAGAACTGCGATTCACATCTTTTGTTTGTTTTTGTCCTCATCATCTCTAAAGCACTGATATTCTGACACAGAACACGCGTTGTTCCTGAGGGGAAAGCAGAAGGAATTGATGTGTTAGCTGAAAGTCCTCAGACCAAGAGACGTAAGCAGGAAGAGACAGACCTCAGTTTCCTCAAGGTGAAAAACAAGGATGGGCAGGAATGTCTCTTTGTTGATCTAGGTAAGAGAAACCAAAAACTTCCGTTTTACCTTTTTCAGCACCCGCTTTAAGAATCATTGTTTGTGAACCTCACTAGTATGTACACATGGATTTTATTTTCAATGCCTTCAATTTAGGTGTCTACACCAAGAACAGAAATTTCCGCCTTTACAAGTCTTCAAAAGTGGGAAAGAACGCTGCCTTCACTGTGGCAGACAACAACCAGTTCCTTGCCAAACAGAAGAAGGGGATCTCCTCCGAGGAAAGTGTGTTCTTGGCGTCCTTGGTCTGTAATGTGAGGTACACTGGAGCACTCTGACACTCACTGATGTTAATGTAAGTGTCTTTAAAACACAGCACCAGAGCTTATTCCTCAATATCATCAGTTTCACAGGTCAGAGGATTCTCTCATGTGATGTCCCAGAAACAAAGACATCCACGACCCAGAGACCTCAGCAGGGATCAGCCAGAAATTCAGGTAACCCTGAACTGAAAACAAATTCTTTGAAATATATTACATTTTACCTCAATATTTTAAACATTCATGTAACTTTTTTGTTCTCCATCCATTGCACACAGACTCACTTTCTGGTTCCTTGATGTCCCCTCACCAAGAAGTAGACAACTTTGTCTTAACCCTGGTTAGAAAGGATGGAATTCAAGGAAGTAAGTGTTTGGGTTGACACAGGAAGTGTCTGTCACACTTTTCTATAGACCCTCATGGTTGAAAAACTGGAACAATCAATGTTTTTGATCATGTTTCTTTGACAAAAGTACATAAATTGATTTTATTGTAATTCTGAATAATTTTTACAGAATCAAATTTGTGCAGGTTTGTAGCAATTTAAGAGTGCGCTTATGTTTTTATAATTTTTAAAACAATTTAAAGTTAAATGACAAAGCTCAGAGCTTGCTTGTTGTAGTTAAGTAAGTAAAGATTCTCTTACATGTTTGATCATCCACTACACGTTACTGATTTTCATCATTTTATGCAAATAAGATCATAATGAATAATGATAATAAAACAATATAGTATAAGGTCCAAATTATTGTCAAATTATCCAGCCCCTTGTAATATGAGTTGCAGATTGTGTGTGTGTTTATTTATTTGGACAATGCAAAGGATGAAATCCCCAGTTACTCTTGTCTACATCAACAGGCATCAGGCGATGGAACTACTTTGTTGCAGAACAGCTGCTCGTCTACGACATTGTCAAATACCGCTGGTGTGAAAATGTGGGAACGTTTCATAAAAGCAACAACATAATGTCAGTACAGTGTCTCGTGTTACACGTTTCTTTGAGTTTGCTCCACCTGCCTCATGTAGTCTCATCCTCCTCTATAGGATTGTTGTGGATCTCAAAGAGGAAGTGTGGTACCAGAAGTGTCACGATCCTGACTGCAGGAACTTCAGATCCTCAAGTAGGTTATAAAATATAAATAGCTGCTTGTCTTAGTTCTCATATTTAAAATAATTTAAGGGCACATTATAATAATTGCAGAATTGTGGTAATACAACCTGAACATTTTCTACTTTTACAGGTTACCCTCTGCCACAGGAAATCTGCGTGAGCTACATCATGACACTGGTTTGTTTGCATTGTTTTTCCCTTAATCCAGACAGGAAACTGTTGTCTGTTTACGTTCAAAGACATCGTTCTCCAACTCCTCATCACGTCTCGTGTTCACTTACAGGACGATGAGGACCAGGCTTACATAATGGACGACGCTGGAAACATTGAGCCAACCCAGGCACAGCAGAGAACAGCCTGTCCACAGGAAGAACCAGCTGACTTGTGGGGAGATGGACAGGATGAGCAGGACTATTTAGAGAGCCTGGACGACTTTGAACAAACCAGTGCGGAGATCTCTGATCAGCTGCTGCTCAGTTGCATGGCAGAGTTTGATTCCCAGTAGAAGGTAAAAGGTTATATTGCACACACTGTTCATCATCAGACTGTTTTATTTGCTGTGCTCCCTGTAACAGTTTCCAAACCTGGTATTAAGTGTTGTTTTAGCAACATGTTTGTAAGAAAAGGTTTATAAATATATTTTCCAACAACTGTAGCTCTCCCTGTAGGCATAAACAAGTAGAGCAGCTATATTTTAAGATAGTGAAGACCTTATTGTGAAGTTGTAAACATTTAAAATGTTTTTAAGAAAAATTTAATTGGTAACAAAT